CAGTGCTGCTCCCCCCACCTTGCCCTACCTGCCCAGCCCCTTTCCACCCAGCCCCATCCTCCCTGGGGGACTCGGGCCCAGATGGCCTTAGCCTGTTGCCAGCTCCCCAGGCCCTGCATGTGACCGCCAGGCCTCATGGGGGAGGAACGGAGTGGCAGGGCCTACCCCTATGGGACCCCCTTGCCCTGTGCTCTGCAGAGGGAGAGGGAGACGAGCACCCTCAGCTTGGGTGTGACCTCACACAAACACGTCCCTGTGCACACACACTCCTCACACACACATGTTCACACAGTCCTACTCACATACACACATGCATGCACACAGACACTTCCCCATGTACACACACTGTTACACACACGTGTTCACAAGTCCTACTCACATACACACATGCATGCACACAAACATGTCCCCATGCACACACGCTGCTACTTACACACACGTGCGCACACAGTCCTACTCACATACACACATGCATGCACACAGACACGTCCCCATGCATACACGCTGCTACTTACACACACGAGTTCACACAGTCCTACTCACATACACACATGCACGCACACAGACATGTCCCCATGTGCACACACTGCTACTTACACACACATGTTCACACAGTCCTACTCACAGACATGTCCCCATGCACACAGACACGTCCCCATGCACACATGCTGCTACTTACACACACGTGTGTTCACAGGGTCCTACTCATGTACACACACGTGTGCACACAGGCTCCTACTCACATGCACACATGTGTATACACAGACATGTCCCTATGCGCACACGTGTTCACACATGCTCCTGCTCACATGCACACACATACACTCCTGCTCACATGCACACAGCCATGTGCCTGGCTGACCATCGCGCTCCCCGGGGCTCCCCTGAGGCCCATCAGCCCCAGGCCCTTCCTGGCCAAGCCCCCAGGGCCCGCCCGGGCTGCCCGGCCTCGCGCCCCTGCCGCCCCTCCCAGCCGCTCAGCAGCCCCGCGTGCCGGCAGGTACGAGCTGCGGGTCATCGTGTGGAACACGGACGAGGTGGTCCTGGAGGACGACGACTTCTTCACGGGGGAGAAGTCCAGCGACATTTTTGTGCGGGGGTGGGTGAGCGC